ATTCGTTCATGAATGCTTTTATGTAATTAAAAATACTTTTTATGCCACGCATTAAAAACTCCATCGTTTATTCGAAAGGATCAAATCCACAAAAAACTTTCTATTGAGTCTTTAAAAAACTGGATATCAAAATCATCATAAGTATTTAACTCCTCTTTCTTCTTGACCAACTACAATACTACTCTTGGCAAAACTTCAAATCCCTTTCCCAGAATTGGAATTCGGTACAGTAAAAATCTGCATTCTCCATCATTTAAAATTATAATTATAATCTTTCTACACAATTTTCAGCTTGAACATAAACATTAAAATGCAAACTAAAATGTTGGAAATAAAAATGTTAACAACAAAATTGTGAAACGTTAATAAAAAGTTCCATCTGGATGACCCTGGATATGTTGTTTATAACATGTTTTAGTTAAGAACCTTTGTAAAGCAATAATCGTCGGTCAAGGTTAATAAACTTAAAAAAATTGAAACCATATTTAATGTTATTTGCATGAAGATGTACACCAGGAATTATAGTGATTTTCTTCTTCCAAATATTTCATATTCTTCTATACATCTTTCGTGTTGGTTATAAGAAAAGGACATTTCATAAACGTATCTGTGACTCATTTCTCAGTTTCACAAATGGAAACAAACGATATGTTTTGTCAGGAACTTCAAAATTTGTTTTCCTCCACAGCCCACATCGACAAATTTCCGACAAGAGAATCATACCTCTTGTGTGTCGTTTCTTAAACACCTCTCCCATTTCACGTTTAATGATCTGTTACCCTGTTTTGTGCTTTTATTTACTCTTTTTGAACCAAGTAAGCACGTCAGTGAGAAGCAGACCCCAAATGAATTGCGACAAGCGAGTGCACTCGCAGATTTGAATAACACGCGCTCACGAAGGCAACTTTATTATTTCTTCAGCCCATGTCGCTTTATTTGCATTGCCCATTGATGAACAGGGGATAAATACGATGTGATATGATGATAAAAGAGCAATAGAGAAATGAGAGGAAGAATAAACATCCTGAACAAACCTTCTGCGAACTCGCTAGAACTAACACCAAAACAGACTGCTGTTCAGTGACGGAACCCGAGGGTAAAGAAGAAACCTCAGATAATAAATAAAAAATAAATAAATAAATAAATAAATAAATAAATAAATAAATAAATAAATAAATAAATAAATAAATAAATAAAATCTCTTTATTGGTGGCCAAGTTCAGGCTTTTTCGCATGTTCTACCGCATGACCACTTTCAAAATGTTTTTTCTTTATTTATTTTTCCCTCTATTTTCTGTATTTCTCAATTCAAACTTTTTATTTATAATTCAATATTTTCTTCTTCTGAATAAGATTACCAAATAAAAAGCTTTTGTATTGATCATCAAAAAAAATTTTTTGCTGTTGATAGCTACTAGATTTCTCTCTTTTAAGTGGCACAACACCCATTCCAAATAGTACTGAGAAGAAACCACAAGCCTTTCCTACTGTGTGTATAACTCAAAACGTTAACGGTGAAAAATTTAAATAACTCTTCCTTGCAATACACAATAAAAGTGTATTTTTTCTTATCGAAACGTATTCACAGATGAAGAATCTAGTAAATATGTAGAATATTTTGTAGCAAATAGCTTCACACATTGGGACATTTTCAATAATGCGTCGTTGGTACTTCTTCGCATACTTCATTCCGCAATTCGTTTTCCTCTCTGCTAAGACACTCCTCCTAACATCTCCATTCCACTCCTTCAATCGAGGAGCTTAAGAAGAAAGCTGCGGGCGCTAACAAGCTCTCGAGATGAGTGAGTAGTCTCTGCTTCGGACTTTCATTTCTTTCGCCCGTACCCACACCTGGCGGCAATGTACGAGCCTTCAACGCCTCAACCTACAGGGACAAACATCTCTAGCTCTACAGAGCAAGAACACCAACTCTCCGTTTTTTAGACGTCTACATTTTAATCTTGTTCGTAACTTCCATTCTGTGATTATTCAAAACAAAATGTTTTTCATTTTTCTTAGCAAATTCAGTTACCTCGCTATTCTTTAGTGAAATAAAAAAGAATAACCAACTGATGCAAATTTGATTTCACTATTAGTACAACTAATTCACGCCGAAAGTGTCTCTTTAGAGTTTATTCTAAGAAAATTAATATATTTGTTTACATTGAAAGTGGCAATTTCATATATGAGCTCATTCAGTCAGTACGAACGTAATTGGGTAAACTGCAGGATAGTATTCCCTAGGTCAGACCTCAATCAGTACCTCATTTGGAGAAAATTTATTTTCCAAAACCTTTGAGAACATTCATGGAGAATTATCGTAAAAAATATTGCCTCTAAATTGCGTGTTAAAAAGGTTTAAGCTTACCTGTAAAGGTAACTATTGACTATTAGTTTTCAAAAAAGTTATCGATTAGCTGTATTTTAATTATATTCTTCGCAACAATGTCTGAAAATTTCCAACACAAAAAACATTTTTGGAGATTTCGAAGACAACCACGATAGTGAAACGCTGTAAATTACTACACTATCTTTCCGGCATAAAATGAATCATTAAAATGTGATTTATAATATTGACAATAGTGAAACACACAACGAAACACATTTAAACAAGGTTTATCTATCGATACTTCACCATGTAATAACTTTCTATGCCCCAGGATAGTTGAGCAAAGCAACACTCTTGTTGTTTTTTGTTTTGTTTTATTTTATTATGTAGTTCCATAGCACATAAAATTCAACATGAAAGTACGCACTGCAAGACTTGTAGCTGTAGTAGCTTCATTACATAGTTATTGCAACTGCATTAGGCAGGCGATAAATTCCTAAGACTCTATGTATCTCACTGGATGCGCATTGTAGCGGTAGTAATTAGGAATACGTTTTATTAATTATATTATTTAAACTATGTGTGTAAATGTTTGTTTCTACGCCTCAACACATTACGTTATGCAGATATATCGGCATTGATTTCACATACATATGTAATAGGATTTCTTGTTAAACACAAAAATCGACAATATTTTCAAAAATTGAAGCAGGAAAATAATATTTTTGACATCCAGAAATTGAATCGTGCTTTTCGCTTAAAGGAATACACATGCATATTATCAGTTAAGCTAATTAATTTATCAACATGACCAAAAACAAGAATAAAATCAAAACTTAAGCTCTGAGCACGGTATCCCTCCTTTGATAATCCACAGAACCTGTTTTTGTTTGAAATTGCTAGGACTAAATTAATTCAAAAAACGCGCTTCAACAAAAATAGAAACAGCTGTCTTCAACGTCTGGAAAGCCATTCAAACCCTCTAGCTGACAACCTCCTAGATAATAGTTAAGAAACCTACCGATTACCCAGAATTACATCCTTACAATTCCATTATAGTTTTCGAATTAGTAACCACAGTCGCATATATTCCTCAACTTTGAGTCCTAACCAAAAGTAATAAAATCACTCTTGTTCTGGACGAAAGAAGACGATGAAATGTACCACTGGGGTTCTTTCACCCACAAAATTGTCATTGTCAACTATCAATGTTAACAGATATTTAGTAATTATTTTCATGTAAAATAGAGAGTAAATTTACTTTTTCCAGAATAAAATCGTCAACAACAGACTTCGGTAACATTTACTTTCGAAATATGACATTCCTGCTTTCTTGTTCCTTGAGGCAGGGTTGCGAGATGTGTTTCGAGATCTGTCTCTACCAGTACTAAGGAATTTCGCCAAATAACCTCTCCAAAGAAACAAAATTCCCCAATTTTAAAACAGAAAATCTTCTCCAAATTATAGACCAACGACATAAGCTGCCCCTCACGCTTCCACTGGCTGTCCCCTTAAATTCAGATAGTTCAAAGCCACCAACCATCCCCCTTTGAGCTGCTCAAAACCATAGAGGAGATATATTTGTGCTCTATGCTCGACAACATATACTATCTTTGTCTCTTTCTCCCTCTCCTCTCTTTCTCTCTCTCCCTCCCTCTCTGTCGTTTATTTTTTCTCCTCTTGATACATAAAAATGAGAGAGAATAATGTTTATAGTTTCTTTTTTATTCATAATAATTGAGAAAAGAATATTTCTATCTCGACTTCGGATGATAATAATCCCCCCCCCCAAAAAAAACATTTCCCCGTCCATTTATGTTCCCCAATTTTTCCCCACAACGAAAAAAAATACAATTGTGGGGACAAAATTCCCCAATCTGGCAACCCTGCCTCGAGGCGTCCACAAAACTGTCGCCCACCTGTCGTCGTGGTTTCCGTTTCGCCTCACGTGTCCACGTGCAACTGGAGACGAGCTCTCAAGGCGATCTCTAATGAGGGGCAGATTTACGACAATCGTCAAGTGGCGGCAAAGGCCTCTCGGGTTGCTGGCACGTTTCAGCGTTCTTCTTACAAATTTCGTTTCGTGGAAATATTTTTTTTTCCTTCTGTCGAGAAAATGAGTAATTTAAGAAAACATGATATTGGAGGATTGCCGCGTCAGTGCGTTTTTGAAGAAACAAAATACTATAAAAGGTTCAAAGAGGAACGCGTGTGTTTTCGTGTATCATCTCTGGTTACTGTATACGTAAGTACCTGAAACTGTTGACTGTTTGAGATGGGCTGGAAAACGTTTAAGGGCTTAAACTACCAAACAAAATACGTTGGTGTCGCAGGTTTTGCTAATATTGTGACAACGATTCGAGATAAAAAATCCAAAGACGTAAATAAGAAATGCAAGAAATATCAAATGAATATGGTATGAAAACGTGAGTGAATACTTAACAAAACTTATTTTATTTTATTTATTCTATCTCTCTAGGACGAGGCTTGAGGGCTGTTCCAATCGCATCTTCTCTTCCTCAGTCTTTCCACGCTTCTTTTGTCTTAAAGATTATGTTCCACTCTTTGTTGTTTTTACTTAATTTTATATTGTTTCTGAACTTACATATTTATCACCTGAGTTAATTTAAGATGCTTTACAAAAAATCATGGTTCGAAGTGACAGAAACATGAAGAGAACCATAACAACACTGTGACAAAAAGTCACAATCAATACAAAAACTTAAATTTCTTCCTGCACTTTTCACATTCTTTCTCACAGTGTGCATTTCAATTATCTTCTGTACTTTCACTGGGATGTCTTCATTTTCATCTTCTACTTCACCTTTCTTTTCCATCCATTCCTCATCAGTCTTCTTCTTCTTCTTCTTCTTCTTCTGCTTCTTCTTCTGCTTCTTCTTCTGCTTCTTCTTCTGCTTCTTCTTCTGCTTCTTCTTCTGCTTTTTCTTCTGCTTTTTCTTCTGCTTTTTCTTCTGCTTTTTCTTCTGCTTCTTCTTCTGCTTCTTCTTCTGCTTCTTCTTCTGCTTCTCCTCCTCCTTCACAGGTCTTTTCATTTATTATGTCGCTTCATTTACTTCCATTCATTCTGGCTTCTTCTTTCCCTCCTCTTATCAACCACAAACTGTCAAAGCCGGCGTTCCGTGCGTAAGTGCGGATGTGTGCGTATATTGCGCATTGCCGAATTTGCTCCTTCCGTCCTCCCTTCTATCCATTCCGTCTGCAGATTCCGGGCGCCTCCTAGCGTGCGTTCGCAGCGACAGTCGAAGGCGGGTTCCACCGTCACGTGCGAACGTGAACTGTCATACGGCACAATTGAACATCCCAGTTGATGCATCTGAAAACAAATAACACAGGAAAACCAATAATTGTTATCACTCTCATAGACTCAACGTTTCTGTATGTATATCGATAGGTGAATGAATTGGGGTGAATACAGTTTTTGTAGCAAGAAAAAAAACTGTAAAATTTACAATCTACAATTTGACGGTGGTTTTATGCGATTTAAAAAAGAATTGGATGGTGGTGGGATAATTCTAGCTTCAGAATCGGATTTACCGCTTTAATATACATAGAGAAACATGTGTGAAGTCAAGTTGGCTTCGACAACAACCCACGAAAACCAAACAAAATACAAATTTACGGTGTTTTTTGTGATTTAACAAAACTTGGAGGGTGATGGCGTAATTCTGGCTTTAAAATAGAATTACGCGCGTCAACATACATAGAGAAACAAGTGTCAAGTTTTCGGGATCCCAGAACTATTTTTTGTGCCTGTGAAATGAATCGTTTCCTCCCTCTTCACTTACTTCCATTCACTCTGGTTTCTTATTTTTCTCTCTCAGAGCCCACGCAATCTGCCGTAGCGCCGGCGCGTGCGTCCCCGTGCCTACGCGCCACGCATTCCGCCCTGCGGAACTCCGTCAGTGGATTCCGGACGCCGTCCGTGGGTTCGTGGCGACTGAGGATGGCGGTTTCGCCGACATGTACGAACATGAACTGTCATACTGAGCAATACTCATCGTAGCTGGTACATCTGGATACAATAACACAGGTGCACAAAAAAAAGTTATCAGACCCAAAGTCTCGACACATGTTTCTCTTTGTACGACGACTCTTTCAACGGAATATGCGGCCAGAATTGTCCTACCACACTCCAGCCTTTTTAATAGAAAAAAGTAAAAATCACAACCTACACTTTCGCGATGGATTTTGTGATTTAAAAAGATGTGGGTGGTGGTGGGGTAATTCTGGCTATAGATATGGATTCAGCACGTCGACATACATAGAGAAACATATAAGACGTCTTTGGGTCTGACAACAACCCCTGAAAGCAAAAACAAAATACAATTTCATGTCGGCTTTTTGCAATTAAAAAATACTGAATGGTGGAGGAGAAATTCTAGCTTGAGACAGATTCAGCGCGTCGAGTCATTGGTTTCTTTTTTTTTTTTTTTTTTTTTTTTTTTTTTTTTTTTTTTTGTGAATGTGAAATGAATCGTATCCTCCCTCTTCTCATTCCTTTGCTTCACTTATTTCCATTCACTCCGGTTTCTTATTCTTCCTCCTCAGAGCACACGCAATCTGCCGCAGCGCTGCCGCGTGCGTGCCCGCGCCTACGCGCCGCGCATTCCGCCCTGCGGCACGCCTCCCGCGGGACGTCGATGGCCGCCGCCACGTGGGAACGGGAAGCCGGGCACGTGCACGCGGGCGCGCCCTTATCAGGGCACGTGGCGGCGCGACTGTCGCCTGCTGATGCGCGGCGCACCTGGCGCCTGGGGGACGCCTTCGCGGAAGCGAACGGCTCCACGCGCTCTGGACGAGCATCAATGGAACTACAGCATTGTTGCCTTTTTTTTCCGCGACATGGGCCGCGCGTTCATGCGTCCTGTTTTTAAACGGGGATCGGGAAATTATCTCAGAGGCAGGTACCTGCAATTTTTATCAGGGTGATCAGCTGGGTCCGATTTTTATCCCTCAGTGTTGGTAGTCCTGGGAGTATGGAAGATAAAATAATGATGATAATGAGGGGTGAAACGGCGACTCACATACAGACATGCACAACACAACAGTGTCCGAGGCGGGAATCGAACCCGTGGTCTTCCGGTCAAGGACAGCTACGGCATTACTACCTAAATGATCTTGGCCACTGACCGGGTATTATTATTATTATTATTATTATTATTATTATTATTATTATTATTATTATTATTATTACTATTATTATTATTATTATTATTATTATTTATATTATTATTAATATTGTCTCGCGAATACGCCGACTTGTACCACGCGTGCCCATACCCTGCATATATTGGGGCTCAGAACCATTATCTATCGCGGGGCCTCCTGGTACAAACTTGTGTAGCCTCTTCCCTCCCTCGTAACATTACTCAATTTTAATTAAATAAAAAGCTTAAAATAATGCAAGCAGTTTCTTATACTAATATAAAATGAAACTAATATTTTAATATAAATGTTTATTTATATTATATTTATTTTATTAAATACATTTTGCCGATCCAGATGGCCGAGATTGATAAGGCAGTAGTGCCGTATTTCGGACCAAAGGATCGCGGGTTCGATTCCCGCCTCGAGTATGGTCGTATTGTGTTCGTCCTTTCGCACCCTATCATCATCGTATCGTGTCATTCTCACAGTTACCATACCGTTACAATCAATACGAGTGGTCGTTAATAACCTAGAAGTTGAAGCGACCTTAAATAACAAAAAAAAATACATTTTATGTTACGAAATATGTTAGGCATATTCTTCCCGACATCGGGGCCCCTCATGGATAAGGACCCCCGAGCTGCTCGCTTAGCCTGTGGGCAAATCCGGCTCTGCCCAGGAGGTGTCGGCGTTCCGCAGGGTCTTCTTGCGGATAAGCGGAGCGGCGGCGGAGCCCCGGACGGAGATCGCGGGCAGATAGACGCGGCCAGGCGCCCACACCCCGCACCCGACCACAGTCGCACCCACACACACCTGCGCGCATGTTCGTATTCACGCTTACCATCCCGCACGCACGTTCACTTTGTCGTCCCCCCCTCCCCCGGCTTGCTCACACGCTTCTTTCATTACGGAGATATTTACAATATTATGTAATGAATATGTACGTAATTCATATAATTTATGTTATAACGACGATCCGTGTGGCCGAGATCGCTATGGCAGTAGTGCCGTTGCGGTCTTGGAGCAAAGGATTGAGAGTTTGAACCCCGCGTCGGGCACGGTTGTGTTTATGTAAGCCGCTGTATTTTTGTGATTGCCCATTTCATACCCATCTTCAGCATCATTTTACCTCATTCTCCAGGGTTGAAGACCCTGGATGAAAAAAAGATTCAGCGTGAAAATACTGATACCCCCTCAATGCCCCTACCTACAATGAATTGAACTTAACGTGTTGGTTGTAATAATCTTATTCGTCTGACAATTTGATTAGCATGGTGATTCGTGACACGTCAACTGCTTAGGTCATTAGTCCCGTTAGTGTAGTGTATGTTTTCGTGAAAGATGTCAGTGATTTTCTACACTGGACGGCGAGATCCGGCGCAGAAGCACCCCTTAGCTTACAAGGTTTTCTCTAACCAGGTATCACCTACCAGCAGGGCACCCGCAAACTCTAAGCTCCCGACTGGTATCCCAGCATGTGTGGTAGTGTAGTGCATGCAAGTGTGTATACATAAGATGTGCGTTTAGAGCAAGGAAGAGTAAGAAAAGATCGTACGCGGTCCGTGGCCCGTTTGTTACAGTACTACTCCTGCATTCGCCTGGTGTTGATCAGGGAAACCACGATCACAGCTGATAGACGCTAGAATTCTTTTCTACACAGCTACACATATTATCTAGCTATGTAGTCGAAAATCCTGTCACCGTCAGGAATAAAACCCTAGGACCTCCCGGTCAGAGGTACTGCAATGACATCCGTGCCACCTAAACCGGTAATTTTTTTTCCAATTTAAATTCACCCGAATTGTCTGTAACGAATATTATCTTTGGCGACAGCTCTCTTTTACGCGAAGGCGACTGTAGCCCGCCCGTGCGTGCCTGCTCGGAGAAGGCAGATCCAGAACTCTTAATCCGGTAGAGGCACGCAACGACGGCGTGTGAGTGAGTGACAGGCGACGGCGGCGGCGGCGCGTGCAAGGAACGAATCGGGATTCGTTCCGTCGAGGAGACTCGCGCCGAAGTGACTCCCGAGCGTGGCTTCTGGGTCCGCACCACTGACACGCGGCGGGGGGGGGGAGGTGGTACCTGCGGACGAGGATTAACAGAGACTTTATCTCACGATCAGCCCCCGCGTTTGCATACCGAAAGAAGACTACCAAGGCGTGCGGCGAAATGAAACTAGTGGAGCTACAGCAGCATGTGCTTTCTCGCATTGTTTGTAACGGTTACTTTGCGATTTGGAGCCCCCAACGGTCTTCCTACAACACAAAAATGTTATCCTACCTGGGATTTGAACGCGCGTTCATAGATTTTCGTAAGCACTTCACTTTATACAAACGAAACATATGAATTCTAAAATGTCCCCAAGTCTTCAAATGGAAAATTGAACATCTGCAGTCTGCGAAAGTTTACAGAGTTCAATAAAAATAGAGTATATAGTTATAATTTTGAAGAACAGATTGCATTAAGAAAAAAGGTCAACATTCAATATTCCAGCTGTAGAAAGAGACCAAAAAAGATTAAACATGCCATCTTCGGAAATAATAGGCAATTAGTCCTGTGACATAATTATGAACATTCTTTGCTCTATTAAAAAAATGAAGAAATAATTTTGGGCCGTTTTGAGACAAGTTTGGAAATGTCGTTGGAGTTTAAATAAATTCAAAAACAAAAATGACATAGATGGTAAAAATTTCACAATACCAGGTCATAAGTGCGAGCCAGAACGATTGAAAAATATCATTTTCGTATAAATCTTGTGGACGGTTTAGGCACGTAAGTTGTCCAGTCAGACGTTTCGCAGTAGAACAATTTTTATGTATCAAGAACCTACAAGACATATTTTCTTACTACACAACTGATAAAGAAAAATAATTTACTACATATAGGAGCATAACTTATGCATAATGTTGGTACCGCAGATTCACAAGTTGACTTTTTTTCGGAAAACCGCTGGCTTTTTTCCTGCAGCAACACTAACTTTTCTCTCTACAACGGAAGTAAAAGTACGAGGTACATGAGAAAATAGAACCATCGAACAACATTGCTACAATTAGTTATAAGTAGAATACACTGATGAGGTAAAAATATCTTTGTTTTGAAATAGTTCTAGCAAACAGTAAAACAATAAAAATAAATAAACACCCGTTTTCAATCAACATCCTGCAATGTTCAGACACAGATTCATTCATTTTTTACCAGCTGGGCAATGTTTTTCATAAGAAAATCATACTTTACGAGAGACTATAATAATGAAACATACAACGCAAATGGCAAAGATGGTAAAAATGATGGCAGATCAGGGTTTAGGCTGTGGTTTGATTCTCGCGAAGGGCAAGGATATTGTCAAGATGTGACTTGGCTAACATAAGTGGGCTACGTGGGAGAAGTAGATTACATGAAAATACGAGTACTCGTATAATAAAACAATCGCACCCCAGGATTTCTGATGAAGACAAGTCAACCAAAGTTTTTAAAAATACTCATAGAAGTTGTATTCATTAGCAAACAGTTTATATTTAGAGGAAATTATATGAACAAATATGTTTATTACTTATTTATTACATATGAAGAAATGTGAACAAAATATTGTAAACGGGAGATTCAGTTCTACTCAATGTAATGTGGATTGAATTTTGACATATCG